CAAATAAGACTGAACAATATAAAGCAACATGTTCGTCTGATGTTGAGGAAGAGATGAGTTAGTGTTCTCAATCTGTTGCTGGAGACTGGCCAACTCTTCTTGATAAAAAAGTTCGTAATGCTCGACCTTGTTTTCATATTCTTGTAATTCAACATTTAATGTGAATCTCTTGAGTTCTTGTAGCATCTTCAGGCGTCTGTTGCTCAGCTGCTTTACATCGAGGTTAGGTATGATGGCAGAATCGAAAGATTTGGGTAATCGATGGCATGAGATGCGTTGCTCGAACATCGTCAATTCTTCGAACATTTTCATTTGTTTTGTGTCAGATACTTGTCAATCGATTGATTGGTTCGAGCTAGAGAAAAATATAAGAGAAACGATGAACATTGACGGCTAGATACTACTTACTTGATCGACATTCGAAAAATAATACGACAATTCTTTGCCGAGCTGTTTTTCATGAATGTCAGCTTTGAATTTGTGTATTCGATAACGAATTGCTCTGATAAAATCAAGATGATGTAAACGAACGAACTCTTTCAATCTTCCATCGATGATGTCCAACGGCGATAATGCTGGCGGACAACTCAACGATTGATCCGTCAATTCGGTTGTATATTCATCGATCTTATCACGTAATAACACCAAAAACTCTTCTAGATACTTTTGAACGACGGGGTGTTGGGTTGATTGTACAATTTTGTGAATGCTTTCCTTCGAATAGAGCATACGATAATGATATCATACGCGGATTCGATTAGATTGCCTGATACTTACAGGTCACATTTGAACTCTTCTGCCTTGATCGAAAAAGGTTTGGTAGAGATATCGCACTTGACCCAAGCAAAATTGATGATCAAGTAGTTGAAATCGCGCCAAAATGAAAGACTATCCTTTTTTTATTTTGATTGGATGATTGAGTTGCAGCCGTAATGAATGCAACAGTAGTTTCTTTGGCATTCTCAAAAACTTTGAAGATTTGTGAAATGTAAAAATTTTGCTGTTTGATTCGCGATTGTTGTTATCACTCGATTTCTTCTTCTTCTTCTTTGTTGTCCTTGATGTCGATTTTTGTCGAGAGAGTGATAATTGATTGAGAGATTTCACTGAATCCGACAGCAGGCTCAGTTGAGACGGATCTCTTTTGCGTTTCGTTGGTTGCCTCGAGTGATCCACGCTGGTTGCCTGCGTATCTGGCAATTGTTCAGATGTTGCGCCATGCTTTGTTTGAATTAACGTGCCAATTGGTTTATCAGTCAGACCACGAGCGCGACATTTTTGTTTAAAATGTTGTAGTTTTCGATTTCCATGACATTTTCGCTTCTTTTTCTGGGTATGTTGTTCGTATACGAATGTTGTCGTTTAATCATTTATATTTTGCAAAGGTTCGTGGGGACAACGTATATTATGGCTAGCATCACCATTGTCCATTATCAGCAAGATTGTTAAGATAAGTGTATTCTGATCTAGAATATAGGGAAAGGTGTATTTAGCTGATAAGACATGGTTTTCAAAAACCGAGATATTTTCATATTTTTTGAAGTAAACAAAAGAAAACGATTTATTTCAGGTAACGACAAATAACGCAGTAACAATCGTAGTTATTTGTTGAGCACTTCATACAGGACAACATCAACGCCAGGGTAGATCAATGATAGCATGATGGCTGCAGTTGTTCTTCCAGCCGTTGACGACGACGACACTGGCACCACTTTATCGAATAAGAGTGAATTATTCGAAAGTCGATCTTGATCGGTATTACATTCATTTGATTCCGTTGTCAAATGTACGACCGGTTTATTGTGTTCGATGTTTGAAGCTATGTGGAACATTCGGAAATAGCATCATCGTATTAGGTGAAATAGTTTGCGTCAAAGTGACTTACAAATTGAATAGCTCGGATCATCAGGTAAGTCGTTGTGAAAATGACTCATTTGTTAATATAAGCCGAATTAAGATCTAGAACATAGTTAACTATCGATACCTAATATGCTTTCAAAGTCAGAACGAGAATGGAAATATTTATTGTGTGCAATCGAAATGGAAGACAACGAAGAGCAGGTAACAACACTAAATTCGCTAGTCGAGAGTCGTAGTAAATAAGTTACAGTTATTTCAATATTGGAATTATTTGGATTGGTTTTGATCAGATTCGTGCGTAACGTTCATTTTCATCAGGTGCTTTGATAACGATGAAATATCCGGCAATGGATTAGCTGATTCCGAATCCGATTCTTGTTCTAGTTCGGGTAGCTTGAAAGTGACCTTTCGATTTCGATGTGTTTCAGATGGATCTTGCGATATTGGTGTCGATGTTCGTGGTGATGGAACATTCGAAACAGAAGTTATCGGTGTTTGTGAATTTGCCATGAATTTTTTGCATTCAGTCATTTTGAACGATCTGTTCACCAAAGTCATGTGTAATTGTAACTAGTTGAAAGCAGATAAGCGGAGCAGTGCAAATAATGTACGGTCCAAATCTGAAATGAAGTGAATTTAAACATTTTCATAAGGTATATGTTTGTTTTTCTTCTTCTTCTCCTCAGGTACTGCAATATTCTATCAAAAATGAGTTATGCAAATAGTAACAGTTAACGGCATGAACAGAAAAAAAGAAAAAGAAAGTTCATAGTAGATTCACATTGTCTATTGAATGGAATTAAATCGTGGTCAGTCGACATGAATGTAGTCCTTCAGCATATTGTAGTCGTTGAAGTTGAGCTGTGCTTCATACCGTTGCTCTTCGTTTGATTCAGCTGCCGTTGATGTGATACATTGATTCGACTGGTCATTGTCTTGTAGTTGCTGCATTGACTTTGGAGTTCGTTCTGGTAGTGACTCGTATGTTTGGAAAGTGGCACCTATAGCTTCACTGTAACTGATGCCATAGTCTTCAATCTATAGATCATTCGTGTGAGTACAGTATGAATAGTGATTGGTAAAATTCTATATATCCCAAAGTGCACATACTACCTTGCAAGGTTCGATTCGAACATAACATTGCAAGAAGTCAATCAAAGCAAGATTTGTACCGGATTCGCGGAGGCTCTGATTGTCGTTAACTGAAAATGTATCCGTTTGCTGCCAGAAAAAAAGAGAGACATATTATGAATGCATCAATCTTATCTCGTCTATTCACCTTTTCGGTCTGTTGTTGTTGTTGTTGTTTACAAACAGCTGAAACAAAACAGAAATTTCAAGCTATTCCGCTGAAAACTGTCAGATCTTATCAGTCGTATTACTTTCGTTTTGAACTTTTGCTGTTGTAGACATGGGGAGGCACGATCGTTTAGGTCTATCGAGTTGTATCTACAACGAAAACTACATCAGCATCAGAACACAATGGAAATAGAAGTGGATATTTTAATTTTTTTTTTGTTTCAAAAACATAGGTACATCGCAAGTAATGAACTATAGTCTAAACACACAAGCACAGCGGCGAGCCAAACAAGTGACTCATCTTGCAAACGGTGTTGTTTTCTAGAAGAAATCCCGCAGGTATTCATGTGTCAAAAATGATGCATCTCCTACGATTAAAAGCATTGTCGGTGATTGTATTTGTCGAGCTGTTCCTTAGTCCAGTTGCCATCGATGAGCATGTGTAGCTTGGTGACGGCTAAAGAATCACTAACAGCATATCGAACGAATTCATCGCTGTGTGTCAGTTGTTGACGCCATTTGCTCTTGGTTCGACTTTTGTCGAGAAACTCGCCGAATGCATAGGCGATCGCTTTCTGAAGTGACCATTGATCTTGTCGATGCTTTACTGGCCGATGTATACAGGTACACAAGCTATGATCGTGTTCATGTGGTTGTAGTCCACAGGTATGGAGAAACACTTTGTTATACCATAATTTGAAGTCAACTTGTACATCGATGTTATTGGATCGTTGGATAGTCGACGAAGAAAAGAGATCATAATGCACAAATTGACTTAGCTCATCTATACCGTTGCCCCACGAATAGATGAAATTTGACGGACTAAGAATCACTGCAAGAAGCGATTTTATCAGCCAGAATGTAACTGTTGATGTCGGTGGTAGATGGCACATTTCAATCAAAAGAATAACTGATCGTCGGCGTATGAATTCGATCTGAATCAGTGCTGCTTCGTGCGTATAGTCATCATGTTCGGTATCAATCGTATATCGAGTTGTTCTTCTTGCTAATTCGATTAAATCGTGTAATACGGATGACGCTGTTGTTCGATTGATACGGTATGCTTGCCAATCGTTGATTGGTACGAATGGAGGTAAAACGCTTAGTTGTTTGTTCAAGAGCCGTTTTCTTGCCACTTTGGATCGGGCCGAATTTAATTGGTTCATTTTGTATACTAATGTGTCTGAAACAAAGGAACAAAAATGATCAAAGAGTGCTCGTAGTAGATTGGAAAGGGAGGATGTTCTAGTTTATTCATTGTCATTTAACAAAAATACAATATGCACTACAAGAAAGGGTTATGTTCGGGACGATAGCAAAGCGTTGAGTGTATGAACATGTTTTATCGTTAGTTGAATCTTCGATTTCTCATCGCAGTGTCGGATGTGAGGCGAAATGCCTTGACCACAGTTCATGAAAGTATCGATTGAATTCACACCGCGGCCAGTAATTATAGTAATAGTTGAAGCGAGCCACTTGGTTGTTATCATTCAATTCTTGAAGTTGTGTTGAGCGCTGCATTTGTAACTCGAAGTAGTCGAAGAAGTGTTGTACATGACTTTCAACAAAGTAAAATGAATAGCCATTGACCAGATACGTTAATTCAGGATAGATGCGTTCCTGATGAAAGTCTTCAGCTGATGAACAGTAGCAAACAGCTCGGAGAAGTGCTGATCGAAACCACTCGCTATGTCGCATTTTGGACTGACCAACAACGTACGGTAATGTGTAACGTAGTGCCATTGGATCATGATACACTCGAGTGTAGAGTTCACCCTTTCGATTTTCAATGTAAGCATTTCAATAGTGGACGTTTGAGCCAGTGGCTAATCGGAAACGAACGTTTGGTTGCCTTTGTCTCAGCGACTGATTCCATGTGAAAAAGATACGATCTTGGTTTCTAGAAGATAGAAACCATCTGAACGGTTGATCATTGCTAAGAGAAACGGCTGAGTTTACCTTTCGAACAGTTCTTGATTGTATTCAAATTGATTCAATATTGATTTTTGCCAATCATACAAGNTGCAAGGTTCTGACCAAACATCGGGTACCTCGGGGCGGCGCCAAGGGAGGGGGAGGGACTGACGGGGGCTAAGCCCCCTTTAAATGAAAATCCAGGCGCCGCCTCTACGGGTACCTCCGCTAGTTTATCAATAAAGAAAACGAGAAAGAGCTTATCCAGTTTCCTCTCCTAAAGGAAGGCTATGCGTCGAGCAGATATCACAGTAAAAACGAGTTGATGTTGGTTCTTCTGTCCTTCAGTTTGTTCCTTCGTTTTTCTTCCAATATTACCTAGTACCAGTTGACAGTAGTAAAGTTTGCCCGAAAGGTAATGGAGGTCGGGGATCTCGTATCTTAGATTAGTTTCTTATTATCCATCGAGCTTCGACTTCTTCCTTTCTCTTTTCAAAGCAAACTTTTTTCGGTGTCTTTTTTAAAATCTTCTCTCGGCAGTAATGAGTTGAATGCTATTCCGGGATGTGACGTGGGAGAAGATAATAGTTTAAAAGTTTACACAAGAAAGATTTAGTATATATTTTGCATTATTATATTTATAACTCAAGAAATCAGAGAAAGTGATATGAACTTAATATCATTTTGTCATTTATTCTACTATACGTCAGGTCTTCGGTTAGGAATTTAGCGGAAGTATGTCGAAAAAAGATATGCCGTCAGTGCAATTTCATCTTATTAGCTACAGAGACGTCGACTATACAAATAGTATTCTAAACATACGGAGCACTATGATGCATGTTTTCTTGACTGCAAATAATAAAATAAAACTTTTTATCTATTTTCTCTTTTGTTAAACAAATGAATGGAAGGTTACCACTTTGGGAGCTACAATGAAAAGGAACGTACACTGAAAAAAAAGGTATTCTACCAAACCCATAAAAAAAGTTTCGTAGATGCTCAAAGTTTCCAAATGTGTCGACATGTTGAAAAAAAATGGTTTTCAAAAATCTACGAAACTTTTTCGATGGGTTTTGTAGAACATCTTATTTTTTTTCAGTGTAGTTATTCCTTTTAAGAGTTAGTCAAAGGTGAAAGACATAGCGGAAGTAGCCGTTGGTTTGAGAAGATTTCAGAGTACAAAATGAGTGTGAGTAAAAGACTGAGACAAGTTATCAAATAACTGCATCTTTGAAATGAAATAGTTTTTGCTTATTTCTTTTCAGGAATATAAGATGTCTGATAATATCATTTCAGTAGAGTCAGCGGCTACTAAGCCATGTTACTTGTAATAACTCTTCGTATTATTATTATTCTAAATAAAATAGATTTTTAAAAAGAACGTACATATTATTCGAAATTGGTGCTTGCCTTTTCTGAGAAACCTACATAATTGTAAATTCATCAATATCCTTTTATTTATCGGAGATAAAAAACATTAGAACTCACTTTTAAAATAAAGGTAAAAGCGCGGTCAAAGTGACACCGTAAAATTAAATTGATACATTTAGAATTGACGGCGCTCATTTACTGACTAAAGTAACAAATAATTTTCCGACTGTTTTGTCTTGAAATACGTTTTATTTGATAAATGTTTTCTTTTTTTGTTCAAAAAATTTTGAATTGGAAGAAATTTTCTTACGCGCACAATAAATTCAAAAAAGAGCGTTTCTATTTCTATTGAGTTTAAATTAATTCACAGATTTCTGTTAACTATTTAAAAACAAAATAAATCAAACGAGAAATTTGTAAATGAATGGTTTTCGAAAGGATATTTTATTAATAAATTTACAAACATGTTTTAACAGACGTTTTTACTAGAAATAAAAACAAATCAATGTTTCTAAAACTTTGTTGGCTGAAAATAAATCGAAGTATTGTTTATTTAATAAAACATCATAGTCCTTCTCGCAAAGTTTGTTTTATGTCAAGAACGCTCTGTTCTAGACAAACAAATTA